CAGTAGAGAGGTCGTAGAGGTGGATGGTATCATCGGCGCCACCGGAAGCAGCGATGGGGCCGGCGGCGGCGAGGGTTCTGATGGCGGAAATATGGGAAGGGTAGGAGAAAATAGGGGTTAGCGACAGAGTTTGGGATTCGGCGGGTCTAAGCTTGAACCCCCAAATGAATCTTTCATAGGAGCCGGCTATGAGACTCATGGAGGCGGCGGCGGAGGCGGCGGAACTCGCCGGCGGCTACTTTCTTGTGGGTATCTGCCTGACCTTCGCTTCAAAGAAACTTGAGAAGGGTTTCGTTAGGGTTTTAGGAAACGCACCTCTTCCTTCCTGCAGTAGCTGCTGTCAATGTCACGCATTATTTTTTTATTTTTTCTAAATTAAATTTACGATTTTTTTAATAATAAATGTTTCTGTAAAGTATCCAAAATATTAGGTATAAATCTCATTTTTTAAATATGTAGGAGTGAGAAATCGAAATCACAACCTCACGATTGGAAATATATGCTAATTACGACGAATAATGTTCACTTTGATTTTTAGTGCTCGATTTTGAAAAATATTTTGGTTGTTATTATTATATTTTTACCTTTTTCTTACACTCTGTTATCATATTTTTTTTTACTTAATATATGCTCACACAATTAAAAAAAGAAAACTATATGTCCATTTATTAAAGTCAAGAGGATGAAAATTAATCTTTTTTTTTATTTACCTGCTAAAAAATATATTTTTTATTGTTTTAGAAGTTAAAAGTACCTAAATTTAATATTTCTAGAGTCGAGGGACAAAAAAAAGCTGAAGATGTTTAGCAAAATAATTCCATTATTTTCATTGCCTTGTCATAATGGAAAGTTTTAGACCTTTGGGAGGCAGAAAATGAAATCATATGTGTTTATGCAAAGATATGCACAACAGTGTATTTCAGATTACAGCTCGAACTCGGCCTCCGGACCGATCTGAATACTTGGGCGGACCTGCACAAAAGGTGAGCACTCCGACGATCAAGTCAGTATAGGTCGGTTTC